CTTATTAACAACATAAATCATGGCTTTTAAGACTTAAATGATCTCTTTTACTCGGATAAAACGTAACTTGACTCGGACGAGCAAAATAGACTAAACTCATAAGCAAAATGACCGAGTACCTTAACTCTAAACTTGCTATAACTTAACCAATATCAAAGACATGATTTATCAGAATTATTAAGCTATCAACTTCGGCATATACCTGCTTGTACATAAAAAATTCGAATTTAAGCTTTAGAACTTCAAAAATTCGAAACTACTACTTAGGCATGAATATAGATTGATTCAATCACATGATAATTCTTATAATATCATATGATAACTATAAAAATTAATAAGCACAAGCTAACCGTTACGGAACTAAGAAAACGGAATTAGGCTCCTTCCTCGAGCTTACTCGCAAAAATTAATAAGCACAAGCTAACCGTTACGGAACTAAGAAAACGGAATTAGGCTCCTTCCTCGAGCTTACTCGCGTCACTTTCTTCTAAAGCTTCGGTTACTATTTGCTGCAACCAACGGCTTCTATGATCTACTTACACTTTTGTAAACTCCTTGAAATCAATATATATTGCGGATGAACTCGTGAAAAACAAGCTATGGCTCAAGACTATTTCTTTCCCGGGACAATACATGCACTCGGTTTTTCCTTTAATATCTCTCGACCTCTCTATATTTTGATAAATAAAAGTTAAATTTATAAGATACACTAAGTGCTAAATGAAATAATACTCACCTCTTTTAATATGCTCGGCAACTAATAAGCAAAACAAACAAGAGGTGGATTTTCTCTTTAAATCCTATAAGGACATGTGTCCTTTAATTGATCTAATGTGTCAATATAAGAAGCTTAGTCGGTCATAAGGTCTCTTAAGGATAAGAGGTTTGACTTTCAAAATTATCTTAAAAACTCAATTGACCACAAAAATAATCGAAACAAATTTGATTAGAATACTTCTATGGAAATTGGGCTTGGCAATTATGCATCCGCACTTGTAATTGGCGCAAATGGACATGGCTCGTGCATTACTTCTTTGGGCCGAGTGAAATGATTACTAAGGCTGAAATTTAAGGACTTGATCTAAAGCTTAATATAAACTAATTATGAACTAAAATATGATCAATTTCTAATGTCCAAATAATGGATTAATCTTGACTAAAAATGGTACAAATGCTTGGCTAGGGTTTTAAGATAATACCCACATTAATCGAACCGAACTTGTTCGGTTTCGATCGCGACTCGACTTCTACGATTTCTCTAAATATTCTCGACTTCGATTAACTCGTCGATTATAAATAATTAATCCCAACTAATCATGTCCGTTTATAAAATAAACGGTTTTGGAATTAATTACCGAAATTGACTCGGTTTACTAAATAAAAATAAATCGAATCGCTTTTCGACTTAAAGTCGAACTTATAACTGAATGACTTTATAACTGGGCTCGAAAACTAAAAACGAGCATTATTAATAAAAGGAAATAACTTAAACTCGGAAGCTAATATTTTTTTCTTATTAATAAAAGACGGAGCGTTATAATCTATCCCCCTTAAACTATTTTCGTCCTCGGAAATACTAAAACTAAGAATACAAGTTTGACTCAAAACTATACCAAACTAATGGCATATACTCAGAACTCGACATCTGAGTAACGAGCTCTAATCTCCACTCATTACTCTGTTTCTAACTTCAAGCCTCACCAATTCATAATAACTAGGTGAATTGGTTGATTAATACTGACTATGATAATAACATCTTACTGGCCAAATATGCTCCTTTGATCATGCTTGCTAGTCAAGAAACAATTCCTGAGTATACTAGATATCTTCTTCTGACTAACTGTCGATCTTCAGTATAGAATTCGGTTGTGAGACCTAAGTCATTGTGGTACGCAAGGAAGACTTTGGAATAACGCATATGTACAAATGAGGAAAACTAGCAATCTCGGTAACTATCTGTCGTGAATACCTAAACAATATCCCTTATAACTTTATGAAATTCGGAGATATTGACGTAGAACTTCATGAAAATGAAAATCTTGGTAAGTATATTTACTCTTCATTTTGGTTCTTAATACTATTATATACATGACTTCAACAAGTACATTTTATTATTTTTGTTCGCAGATATATATGTGGGATTGTGATGAAGGTGAAAGAGTCCAGGATTATTACAAAAACAACGGGTGCAAAGACGTCCATAAGAGAGATTACTATTATGGACCGGGAGTGAGTATTTAATTCTGCATATTGAATATTCGGTAATCTCTTTTGATCACCTGGCAGCTAAGGGCAGATTAAAAAATTGAATTACACAAATCTTATTAAATTTAAAACATGGAATATATTTAAAAATATATTTGTTATACTAATAATGCTAATAATAATAAAAACAATAACAACAACAAAATATACAAANAATAACAACCAACAACAACAACAACAACAACAACAACAACAACTTCAACTTATATAAATAAATAAATTCTTTGTGTTTACAGGTGTCGATCCATTATAGTCTCCTAGTCTCATTATGGGATGATATGGCGCAAAATGAAATATCTGCTCTACATGATATGGTTTCACAAAGACTGTTCGTAACATTCAATAAGTTAACAACATCGAAGATATACAACGGTAAGACATAATACATTTTATTAATAAACACTAAAAATAATTAATTTTGAGAATTTACATTTATATTCTATAGTTTTTTTATTGATGAAACAACTGGACTTTCTATTCTAATACTGTTCACTTTTATATCATAAGGTCAAATGCAATTGCAAACAAACAACGCATGAATTCTGAAAATCAACGCGTCTTGTAAAGAAAACAATCAATTTCGTCAATAGTATACTCTAAATTCAGGGAAGTAGATGTAATATAGTACAATATAATTTAAAATAATAAGACCTTCTGTGTATATGTAATATTTATTAGGTTGCGAGCACATGACAAGCATATGAATTTGCTTGAAATGTCGATGAAACAAAAGATGAAGGATGTCGAAGTTGTGACCTTACATCAAATTTTGTTCAATGGAGACGAGCTTAATAAGGTAAATTAGATAANAAAAAAAAAAAAAAAAAAAAGTCAAATAAAAAAGTCAATTTTTTCCTGCTAAATGTCTTTATGTGTGAGCGACAACATTATCTTGACGTTAAGTGGAGAGTTCACGTGTTAAAATTCTACACTATATGATTGTATAGAGTAATGAGTTTCAATTCAAGATCTCATTTTTTACTTGATGTCATCAATATGATTCTCATGGACTTGGGAAGTTGGTTAGCTGTGATGGTCGAAGTAATTTGTTAGAATAATACTCCCTCCATTTTGTAATATAAAGATAAGTTAACTAATTCTTTTGATACGTGATTTTGTTCTTTCAAATTAGAATGACAAATAATATAAAACAGAGGGAGTATTTGGTTAATATTATATTTTCTCTTTCTGCTTAAGATGTTCTTTCTTCTCAATAAACACATGGAAAATGGTGTTCATATATGAGTATCTGATGTCCCTATATTTTGAAGCAAATTTTTGTCTTTCTAATCAGTGTCTCCCAATAATATGTACATCCATTGTCATAATTTTCCTACGATCTTTTGTTTTTTGGACAGTGACACTACTACTTTCCAAAATCTCGATCCTTTTTTTTTATTTTTTTTTTATTTTTTAAAGTTGATCATATGGATATTAGATGAGTGTTTTTTTATTTCATAATGTAGCGAAGCGTTGACGTATTTTTTTCTTTTTCCCTCTGTTAGCATCTAAATGGTACCATATAGAATATCTCAAAACTTTACTTACTCGAGAGATCAACCAAGAAGAATCTTTTTCAAATTAGGTTGTAATATTTTTCAATACTTTTCTTTTTATCACAGGAAAAATAAAAAAATATTATTCTTCCAACGGATACGTGGATAAGGTCAAGAATAAATCATCTTTGTGGTATGAATCGTGTTAAAATTTTGCCGCTGCAATTGAGAAGATCGACGACAACATGTCATGCAAAAAGTGCAATAGCAAAGTCGTGGAACCAACTCAAAGATATTAAACATCACAAAAAGACCGCATCTAATATTTTATTTACACAGCAGATTTACAAAAAAATATACAACCATTGCAGATATAGGTTGGTCTTAAACATCGTGGGAGATACCCACAATGCGACAATAACTTTATTTGAGGACGCCGCAATGGTGTACATTGGATATCCAATTAATGATTACATCAGATCAAATCAGATCAATTGAGCAGGTGAAATATATTCTTATTTTCAAATTCACATGAATCTTCAAATATAATATTTATTAAACACTTACTTTTCGATGTTCATTAGGAGAAAGAATTATCTGAATATTACAAAGGGTTGAGCTTACAGTCAACAACTGAATTTCAATTCCCCATTCCAGTAAATGATAAGTCGTTCAACTCAATAGGAGAATTCAATGCGGTAGCAGAGGCAATTGTAAGGACGCAAACTACACATAATAAAAAAATGAATAATAACCAAACAATTTCTCTAAACAGCCCTAATGATCTGCATGTGCATGAAGATAATTCGTAAAAAATGACCAAGAGCAAAAAGAAGCGATTCATCAACAGAATAATAGAAGATGAAAATGATTGCGTTATTAAAGCTGAAGATCATGAAACAATTAGTATTATTAAGAAGAAATGTGCAAGAAAAAGTACAAAAGCAAAAGGAAAGAAACCATCTCCAATCGTTAACATAAAGAAGGAGAAGAACTGGAGCAACAATAATTCGTATTAGTTCCTTATTTAGTTAATTCTCTCTATTTTATAGACAATTTATTTTTGCATAGTAAGTTATTTGACTTTTATTTTGATTAGAAAACCTTTCTCTTTCAAATATTTATGCATTGGTAATTTCATATATTATTTCAATATCTTCAAATTCTCACTAAATATAATTCAGTACAAAATGGCAAGAAGAAAATATAAGTATTGCAAATGATATTGTGCACAACTATGCATCTCAGAACAATAACAAAAACTTCATTATCCAAATGAAAAAAATCACAAAGCAACCCAATTTTTTCACGTGCATCGCACGTGGACTATACTAGTCCCTACAAAAGGCCTAAACTTGAAACACATTTTCGGGGTTCAGTCAAATTGTAAAAGAATATGTATGTGTGTGTATAACTTGTATGCCAAAAAATCCTGCTCCAAGGTGATGCAGAAATATATTATAAAAGAATATGTATTGTGTGTGTATCTTTCTATTGTGCTGCTGCTGCTCACTTTGAAAATCTATATTATGGGACCTGCAAAACATATAAAATCCTGGATGAGAAAATTTAATTAATTTCATTATATTTTAGTTCCATAGGATAAAAACTATACCAGGTAGTAAAAACCGCATCAGCCTATCTGATTATGGCAAGAATTATCGCAAGGGTACGCACAATCAATCTCCTTGCTTATTTTTCTTCCAAAATACCAATCCCCAACTGCTTCTGCTATTGTCTGCCCGAGTTAACATTTAAGACGATATATATGCGTTAATTTGTATTTCAACAATTCATAAAATTTGATAAATTGTAAGGTTGCGTAATTTCAAAATATAGATGTATAATAGGCCAAAATTATCAAAATTTATGAAGCTCAAGTAGGAAATGTTGAAGAATGCATGACGAAAACTTTGTGAAAATAGCACATTATATTTTATTTTTGTTATTTATACGAAATCCCGAATAAAAAACGAACCTTGTTGTTTATTCTTGGGGAGTTAGGTGCAAACCAAGTGTCTTGTGTTTCGGTTTGGCAGTGAGTGAAACAAGAATTTATGTACATTCCTCCTCTTGTCGAGTTTTCTAGGAAAGGCCTCAATGTCTCTATCATGTATTCCCTGAATCCTGACAAAAATATATACTCATAAATAATACCAAATATTTTTATAATGTTGAAACATAGTGACTGATTTATATTAGTAATTAGACAAAGAAAGAAACCTTGTAAAGTATTTAACTGGACTGTATTACAGTTGGCAGGATTGAGCTTGCAATGGTACCAATGGCCATGAGGATCGGCTGCAGGTGGCACCAATATATGATTTATCTGCGAAAAATACAGAGAAATTAATATTTTTTTATAGGTGTTCAACAAAATTATTGATAATTTAGTTAGTATGATTTGATCTCAAGTAAAAATGAATAGTACTAAAACAGCCTTACTTGGTACACATCATATGCAGAGTTAAGGATGAAAAATGGCGTCTTGATATATGGCAACGCGTATTGAGGGAAGAAGCACTGCAATCCACAACATGGAAATATATAATTACATATATAAATATATATAACCTTACGAAAAATTGAGTTGTTAAATAATTCGAGATTAATTTCACAATTATTAAATCAGGAGAAGAGGGTGTGGTCCCACCAGATGAAGCGCACCATAAGAGGATGAGCCTAGTAGGACCATAGTGAGGTTCCATCCCAAAACCAATTAGTGATGGGAGGAGTAGTCCACTAGACTTATATACTAGACTCATTTTCCTTATAGAATCAATGTGGGACAACTCACAAGTGATATTCCAACAACAATAAGCAAATAACGCACTTGTTCGGGATAATTGGAATCTGTACAGTTTTTGTTCAGGTTCTTTGCANATTTTTTTGTACCTGCAGAGTAACAACACCTTTGTAGAAGTACCTCATGCTGTGGTTCATAGCAATGTCTCGTCTGCATGCAACATGTTCAAAAATTACAAAATGACCCCGAAAGGTATCAAACAAGACTCGAGTTATAAATTGAAAGAAACAAAATATAATCACTCGTGTGATTTTGGTGTTTTATTCAAAAGCGACGACCCAATTTGTTAACAAGCCACATTAATTATTTCATTTCTTTTTTCTTTTTGTTCATATGTATATATATATTTAGATTGATACTTACGAATCAAGAAAGAATCCAGCGTCGCTCAAACATTTGACGGTGGCATTTTCGGGCAAATAAGTGGTGAAATCATCACAGTGAAGAAATGTAGACAAACCGCCTGCCGAGCAACCTGAAAGCAAAGCCTAATAACAAAACTAACAAATAAATATATATATTTATATATATATGAATGGATTTAAAAATGAGATTTTTTTTTTTTTTTAATCGAAAATGAGAATTTAAATGCCATATGTGCATGATTACCTTGTTTGCATGGCACAAGCCTTTGGGAAGAAGGTCAAGAATAATTGCTTGCCAAATTCTTTGCCCTCTAAAATAAATCAATGACTTCTGTGATTCATATTAAAAATCCAAATTATTCCAACTCAATATTAATCACAGCGCATAAGAACATGGTGAAAGAAAATAAATGGTCAATTAATTAGTTGTAGCATCATTGATACTCCATTAATAACATGAATTTGTCAAATATTGCAGTTTTACTGAAAAATAAAAAATAAAAAAATAAAAATAGAGAAGTAGGAGTTAATAATATGGTTTAGACTTACACCATTTCTGTACACAGCATCACCAGCAAATGAGGCACCATCGCAGTATCTCAGCTTCACACGATTCCAATTGTAAAAATCTGTTAAAGTTCAGTGAATAAGATAAAAATCATTCTGTAATATATAGTAATTTTTCAATATACTGTCGTCTTACGCCAAAGTTTTAAGAAAATCAGTACCACACCACATATAGTCTAATTGATGATCACCTACTTTTTAATTTAATCACATAACAAATATGCAAATAAAATATATATGCCTGCAAAATAATATCCGCATTATAAAGCAGTCAAATAGCTAGCAACAGCATTATAGACGAAATGTCATACTCTTTTTTATAATGTTTTCTAAAGTATACTATTTTAATTTGAAAATAATTCTTATATATATTTAAAAATTATGATTGTCAAACTGCTGGTCCTTTCTAACCGTAGTTCTATTTTATTTTAA